GAAATCGAACCCACAACCCTGGCGTTGCAAGCGCCATGCTATACCAGTGTCCACTGATGGGGCGAGCAGAGGGCGGCGGAATCACACGGGGTGTATGGTAATATTTTATGTATCATTAAAGAAAATGTTGGGAAATGTCAAAGATAAAAATATAGTAAACATGATTGGCATTTTATAAGTCCAGATGCATGTCTAAATAAGGCATATAGCCAATACAGTGTGTAAACATGCTTTAATGAATGTATGTATATTATTTTTTAAAGTGTCTGAGCCACGCCACCAATATAATGAGATAAAGGGAAAGAGGCAAGAGTGCCCATGGCCGTTTGGAGTAAACAACATGTGTTGTTGGAATTTTCAAAGATAATAGTGGCGTGGCAGTTAAAGATGTTAAATCAGTGATCTTAAGGGGAGTAGCTTTGTAAGCTATGTATACACGACTGTGCATTTGTGTGTGTATAAAAGAGATCTCTGAGCCAAAAGAGAGACAGCCGTTCCCTGGAGTGGCTCGGCTTTGTTACGCAAATAATAACGTCTAATTTCTGGATTCACAAGCTCCAGTCTCTCGAGAGATATTTTTGAGTTGACTACTTTTGAGTCAAATATTTATACGACAGGTGAAGGGGTGAAGACACAGACCCGTAGAGAACAGAGGAGAGTCATCACCCTGAAACACGTCTCGCCAGTCCACCCTCCTCCAACAGAATGGTTGAATTCCTTCCCGACTAGATTGCAACCACATTTTACAACGCCTGGATAGGTATTTAACAAAATATACTAACCACATCACGATATAGCCATCTGACGCCTGACTGCACAGTCGATGATGTGGCAGGTTGATGCAATACAACGCCTGCACATCTAGTCGGGTAGGAACTCGACCAGTGTGTGAGGTGTGCAACTTCTGCTTCCATTTCCCCAGAAAGTACCTGGCTTCTTCCTTTTTTTTTGGTTCATCTGAGTATCCTCATAAAATTAATAAACAGATCAAACTGAATAAAATGAGTTTTCACATTTTAAAGTTTGTAGACCACACACCCCCAAGTGAATAAACAAAACATATTTATTTGGGTAGTCCATGCCTGATGTCCAACACACTCGAACCAAACGAACATTGAAACAACATTTACCACAGAAGAGAGGGGAAGTAAGCAGCAGTTGTCTCTAAACCAGCGTTTTCTAAACTCAGTTCTGGGGACCCCAAGGGCTGCACGTTTTGGTTTTTTGTCCTAGCACTAATATATGCCATTTAGCAGCTGCTTTTATCCATGCATGCATACATTTTATGTACGAGTGGTCCCGGGAATCGAACCCACTACCCTGGCGTTACAAGCGCCATGCTCTACCAACTGAGCTACAAAGCACTACACAGCTGACTCAAATAAGCAAAGCTTGACAATGTGTTGATTATTTGAAAAATTGGCTGTAGTGCTAGGGCAAAAACCAAAACGTGTACCCCTTGGGGACCCCAGGACAGAGTTTGGGAAACGCTGCCCCAACCAGTGATCCAGGGCCAGGTATGTTTTCATTCCCCTAATGGGTAAGGTTAAGATTGGGGGTTACAGTTATCTTACTAGGCACAAACTGGCTAATCAACGTTGTTTCCACGTAATTTCAACAACAACACAAAAAAAAAAATCTATGTGATGACATTGAATCAACAACGTGGAAAATTACTTCCCTTCAGGGTTGGGCCCAATTCCATATCGACTCCAGTCAATTCAGGAAGTACGCTGACATTTCAATTCTCGACCAATGAGAAACATTTGGAATTTAGTTTACTTTCAGAATTGAAATGGAATTGATGCCGACCCTGCTTCCCTTCAGGTCGGTACAAAGATACTATATGAGAGAGAAAACATGCAACACTTCTGATTTCATAAAACAGGCAAAAGGACAAAAGTTGTTCAACAAGGTCTGTGCTGTAAGACAAACGCAAATGATTTAAGTCTGGACATACTCATAACAATTATTATTTATATTTTTGCATTGTTCTCTCACTTTGCTACCTTGCATGAGAGGAGAGAAACCCGTCATCGGTTAATACAAACATGATTTGTAAATTCACGAGTTCTCTTTTCATAACAGTTGAGGCAGATACTAAAAACTACAACTGTCATTGCCAGTTACAGCAATACTGCTACCCAGTACATCAAAATACCCTCATCGTGTACTGTCTAAGACCTCACAGTGCATGAAGCAGCCAGTTCAGCAAAAACAACCGATGAACAGAAATACTGGTGCCACATTGTCTCTTTTCACTGACTGGTTAAGTGCCTGCCTGTATGACACAAAAAACCTGATTTGACATCACTGAGTTAAACAACAGAGACGGAGAGGGAGATGGAGAGAGAGACGGAGGAGGGAGATGGAGAGAGAGACGGAGAGGGAGATGGAGAGAGAGACGGAGGAGGGAGATGGAGAGAGAGACGGAGGAGGGAGATGGAGAGAGAGACGGAGGAGGGAGATGGAGAGAGAGACGGAGGAGGGAGATGGAGAGAGAGACGGAGGAGGGAGATGGAGAGAGAGAGACGGAGGAGGGAGATGGAGAGAGAGAGAGACGGAGGAGGGAGATGGAGAGAGAGAGGACGGAGGAGGGAGATGGAGAGAGAGACGGAGGAGGGAGATGGAGAGAGAGAGACGGAGAGGGAGATGGAGAGAGAGACGGAGGAGGGAGATGGAGAGAGAGACGGAGGAGGGAGATGGAGAGAGAGACGGGAGGAGGGAGATGGAGAGAGAGACGGAGAGGGAGATGGAGAGAGAGACGGAGGAGGGTGATGGAGAGAGAGACGGAGGAGGGAGATGGAGAGAGAGACGGAGGAGGGAGATGGAGAGAGAGACGGAGGAGGGAGATGGAGAGAGAGACGGAGGAGGGAGATGGAGAGAGAGACGGAGGAGGGAGATGGAGAGAGAGACGGAGAGGGAGATGGAGAGAGAGACGGAGAGGGAGATGGAGAGAGAGACGGAGAGGGAGATGGAGAGAGAGACGGAGAGGGAGATGGAGAGAGAGACGGAGGGGGAGATGGAGAGAGAGACGGAGAGGGAGATGGAGAGAGAGACGGAGAGGGAGATGGAGAGAGAGACGGAGAGGGAGATGGAGAGAGGACGGAGAGGAGATGGAGAGAGAGAGAGGGAGATGGAGAGAGAGACGGAGAGGGAGATGGAGAGAGAGAGAGAGAGAGAGAGATACATGTAAAAACAGAGATATAGGATGCATACCGTGCAGCTGTTTAGTTTGTATATATATATTTTTTTGACCCAGGGTTTGGAGAAGCCCTTTGCTCTCGCCCTCCTCACTCCTCCACCTCCTCCTCCTCCTCCTCACTCCTCCACCACCTCCTCACTCCTCCACCACCTCACTCCTTCTTCCTCACTCCTTCCTCTTCTTCACCTTCTTCACCTCCTCCTCCTTACTTCAGCTCCTCCACCTCCTCACTCCTCCACCTCACTCCTTCTTCCTCACTCCTCCACCTCCACCTCACTCCTCCACCTCCTCACTCCTTCTTCCTCACTCCTCCTCACTCCTTCCTCTTCTTCACCTCCTCCTCCTTACTTCAGCTCCTCCACCTCCTCACTCCTCCACCTCACTCCTTCTTCCTCACTCCTCCACCTCCACCTCACTCCTCCACCTCCTCACTCCTTCTTCCTCACTCCTCCTCACTCCTTCCTCTTCTTCACCTCCTCCTCCTTACTTCAGCTCCTCCACCTCTTGTTTGACCTCTGTTACGTAGTGGTGATCCTTCCCATGAGCCACTTCCATGATGGCGATCGCCTGGACAGGAAACAGGAAGTGACACGTTACCCATCAACGTTTGTTGGTCGTCACTATCTGGCCAGGTTGCAAAGACATAAACCCTGCCCATTTCAAAAAATTATATATTTTTTTACATCTGATTTTAAACCTAACCTTAACCACACTGATAAGCTTATGCCTAATCTTTAAAATAATGTTTTTGTTTTCATACATTTCTACGATTTAGCCAATTTTGACTTTGCAGCTTGGACATCTAGTGGGAACTCTAGATCAGGGATCTCTGACTCTGCCAGAGAGCTACAGGGTTTGCAGGGTTTTATTCCATCTCTGCAGTAACACACCTGATTCAATTGATTAAGGCCCAGGTTGAACCAAGAATAACTGAAGGTGTGTGTGTGTGTGTGTGTGTGTGTGTGTGTGTGCGCACGCGACAGGGTTGGAGTCAATTCCATTTCAATTCAGAAAGTAAACCAAATTCCAATTCCAAAAATTGTCCTCATTGAAAAGCATTATAGAGAATTGGAATGTCAGTGTACTTCCTGAATACCCTGGTGAATGATGAGGCGTTACCTTCTTTAACGCCTTGACTCCCTGGTTCTTCCTCTCCAGTCCCAGGTATAGTCGGCCCAGTTTCAGGTACATGGATGCCACGTTCAGAGAATAGGCTGGGTAGTGGATACTGGACACACAGGAGAGATTAAAGAATCAGTGGTGTAGTGGAATGTAAATGGCGTTTACGCACTTTTATTTTGGGTGCACGTTTACCCACCTGAGGAAGAATGTATCGAAAGTAAAAGGGAGCGTTCCTTCACTCAAAGGGAGCTTTCCTTCACTCAAAGGGAGCGTTCCTTCACTCAAAGGGAGCTTTCCTTCACTCAAAGGGAGCGTTCCTTCACTCAAAGGGAGCTTTCCTTCACTCAAAGGGAGCGTTCCTTCACTCAAAGGGAGCGTTCCTTTACTCAAAGGGAGCGTTCCTTCACTCAAAGGGAGCGTTCCTTCACTCAAAGGGAGCGTTCCTTTACTCAAAGGGAGCGTTCCTTTACTCAAAGGGAGCGTTCCTTTACTCAAAGGGAGCGTTCCTTCACTCAAAGGGAGCGTTCCTTCACTCAAAGGGAGCGTTACTTGTACACATGACTAAGTAGCTTTGAATAAAAGCGTCTGCTGTATGTTGTGGTCACCTGTATGGTTGAATGATCTTCTCTCCGTAGCTCATGGCTCCGTCCCAGTCCTGCATGTACAGACACACTCCCATGGCCTGGTACATCATATGCAGCATGTACACGTTAGTGTCTGCGAATATAGAGCCCATCTTCTCCTGGCTCAACTCGCAGATCTCCAGCAGCTCACTAGGGGGTGCTAGAGGGTTAAGGACTTAATACAACACATAGATCACTAGGGGGTGCTAGAGGGTTAAGGACTTAATACAACACATAGATCACTAGGGGGTGCTAGAGTGCTAAGGACTTAATACAACACATAGATCACTAGGGGGTGCTAGAGTGCTAAGGACTTAATACAACCCATAGATCACTAGGGGGTGCTAGAGGGTTAAGGACTTAATACAACACATAGATCACTAGGGGGTGCTAGAGGGCTAAGGACTTAATACAACACATAGATCACTAGGGGGTGCTAGAGGGTTAAGGACTCAATACAACACATAGATCACTAGGGGGTGCTAGAGGGTTAAGGACTTAATACAACACATAGATCACTAGGGGGTGCTAGAGGGTTAAGGACTTAATACAACACATAGATCACTAGGGGGTGCTAGAGGGCTAAGGACTTAATACAACACATAGATCACTAGGGGGTGCTAGAGGGTTAAGGACTCAATAAGACAACACATAGATCACTAGGGGGTGCTAGAGGGTTAAGGACTTAATACAACACATAGATCACTAGGGGGTGCTAGAGGGTTAAGGACTCAATACAACACATAGATCACTAGGGGGTGCTAGAGGGTTAAGGACTTAATACAACACATAGATCACTAGGGGGTGCTAGAGGGTTAAGGACTTAATACAACACATAGATCACTAGGGGGTGCTAGAGGGCTAAGGACTCAATACAACACATAGATCACTAGGGGGTGCTAGAGTGCTAAGGACTTAATACAACACATAGATCACTAGGGGGGTAATAGAGGCTAAGGACTTAATACAACACATAGATCACTAGGGGGTAATAGAGGGCTAAGGACTCAATACAACACATAGATCACTAGGGGGTAATAGAGGGCTAAGGACTCAATACAACACATAGATCACTAGGGGGTAATAGAGGGCTAAGGACTCAATACAACACATAGATCACTAGGGGGTGCTAGAGTGCTAAGGACTTAATACAACACATAGATCACTAGGGGGTGCTAGAGTGCTAAGGACTTAATACAACACATAGATCACTAGGGGGTGCTAGAGTGCTAAGGACTCAATACTACTTACGCCAGTCCAATGAGCTCACAGTTTGGGTATTAAGGGGGGACAAACGGAACGTTCATAACATTGGCCTTGCAGGAGTGATTTGTGGGTAAAAGGGCAGATTGCTTCTAGTCTTGAGAAGCTATTGAAGGTCCATTCATAAGGTTGCTGAGTGTAGTGGCACTGTACCTACTGCTCTACACGGGTCACATACAGCACAGGAACTGAATACCTGACATTTCTACAGCGCAGCACACGCCCCACTGTCAATCAAACCTCCCCCTCCCACACTGTATCCAGGCACTAAAGTGGGACCAGCCAAAAGAGCACAGATAAAATTACTCTTCCAGAGTTATATTTAAAGGGTAAACTTTTGTTATTTTTACCGATTGTTGTACTCTTTTTTTTATTTTTTATAAATCGACTTGTCTTATTGATTAGCTTTGCTACTTTCCTTTATGTTGTGCTGTTGAGGAAGAGCGCCAATTAATCACTGTACCATTTCCACCCACTATATTGTTCACGTGACAAATAAACTGATTTGATTTGAGGGGGAGAAGGTGAGAGGGACAGAGGAAAGAAAGTAGAGAAAGAGAAGGAGGTAGATAAAGTGAGAGTGGGGATGGAGAGAGCAAAGGATATGTGGAAACGAAGAGGTGTACAGTAGAGAAGGTATAGAAACGAAGAGGTGTACAATAGTAGAGAAGGTATAGAAACGAAGAGGTGTACAACAGTAGGGAAGGTATAGAAACGAAGAGGTGTTCAGTAGGGAAAGTATAGAAACGAAGAGGTGTACAGTAGGGAAGGTATAGAAACGAAGAAGTGTACAGTAGGGAAGGTATAGAAACGAAGAGGTGTTCAGTAGGGAAGGTATAGAAACGAAGAGGTGTACAGTAGGGAAGGTATAGAAACGAAGAGGTGTACAACAGTAGAGAAGGTATAGAAACGAAGAGGTGTACAGTAGGGAAGGTATAGAAACGAAGAGGTGTACAGTAGGGAAGGTATAGAAACGAAGAGGTGTTCAGTAGGGAAGGTATAGAAACGAAGAGGTGTTCAGTAGAGAAGGTATAGAAACGAAGAGGTGTACAGTAGGGAAGGTATAGAAACGAAGAGGTGTACAATAGTAGAAAAGGTATAGAAACGAAGAGGTGTACAGTAGGGAAGGTATAGAAACGAAGAGGTGTACAGTAGGGAAGGTATAGAAACGAAGAGGTGTTCAGTAGGGAAGGTATAGAAACGAAGAGGTGTACAGTAGGGAAGGTATAGAAACGAAGAGGTGTACAGTAGGGAAGGTATAGAAACGAAGAGGTGTACAACAGTAGGGAAGGTATAGAAACGAAGAGGTGTACATTAGGGAAGGTATAGAAACGAAGAGGTGTACAGTAGAGAAGGTATAGAAACGAAGAGGTGTTCAGTAGAGAAGGTATAGAAACGAAGAGGTGTTCAGTAGAGAAGGTATAGAAACGAAGAGGTGTTCAGTAGGGAAGGTATAGAAACGAAGAGGTGTACAGTAGGGAAGGTATAGAAACGAAGAGGTGTACAACAGTAGGGAAGGTATAGAAACGAAGAGGTGTACATTAGGGAAGGTATAGAAACGAAGAGGTGTACAGTAGAGAAGGTATAGAAACAAGAGGTGTTCAGTAGAGAAGGTATAGAAACGAAGAGGTGTTCAGTAGGGAAGGTATAGAAACGAAGAGGTGTACAGTAGGGAAGGTATAGAAACGAAGAGGTGTACAGTAGGGAAGGTATAGAAACGAAGAGGTGTACAGTAGAGAAGGTATAGAAACGAAGAGGTGTTCAGTAGGGAAGGTATAGAAACGAAGAGGTGTTCAGTAGGGAAGGTATAGAAACGAAGAGGTGTACAGTAGGGAAGGTATAGAAACGAAGAGGTGTACAGTAGAGAAGGTATAGAAACGAAGAGGTGTACAGTAGGGAAGGTATAGAAACGAAGAGGTGTACAGTAGAGAAAGGAAAGGATATTCTTGTAGTGCTTGGCCCTACGGAACTCTTCAATAACATTCCTGGCGTAGTGAACCATCTTTCGAACCTCCTCTGGCTGTGGGGGAGAGTTCATCTTATGAAGCTCCATCTTAGCGCCATCCTAAAAAGAGGGGGAGAGAGAGAAAGGAAGGGGAGAGAGAGAAAGGAAGGGGAGAGAGAGAAAGGAAGGAGAGAGCGAGAGAAAGGAAGGGGAGAGAGAGAGAAAGGAAGGAGAGAGAGAGAGAGAAAAAAATGAGGGTTTGGGGTAAAACAGGGCTAGAATGGCTCCAGAGGGGAATGCATGTATTCTAGTTTGCACACAATGAGGACACACTCAGACCAATAACAGAGTGCTGCAGTCTTCGTTACTGCAGTGCGTCCCACGCCTTTACTGCAGTCACAGTGTGTAACCCACCCAGTTTGAGGAGTTGTCTAGTCCTGGAAGTTAGCCCTGTTCCTGGAGAGCTACCCTCCTGTAGGTTTACACCAGGGCTCTCCAACCCTGTTCCTGGAGAGCTACCCTCCTGTAGGTTTACACCAGGCCTCTCCAACCCTGTTCCTGGAGAGCTACCCTCCTGTAGGTTTACACCAGGCCTCTCCAACCCTGTTCCTGGAGAGCTACCCTCCTGTAGGTTTACACCAGGGCTCTCCAACCCTGTTCCTGGAGAGCTACCCTCCTGTAGGTTTACACCAGGCCTCTCCAACCCTGTTCCTGGAGAGCTACCCTCCTGTAGGTTTACACCAGGGCTCTCCAACCCTGTTCCTGGAGAGCTACCCTCCTGTAGGTTTACACCAGGGCTCTCCAACCCTGTTCCTGGAGAGCTACCCTCCTGTAGGTTTACACCAGGGCTTTCCAACCCTGTTCCTGGAGAGCTACCCTCCTGTAGGTTTACACCAGGGCTCTCCAACCCTGTTCCTGGAGAGCTACCCTCCTGTAGGTTTACACCAGGGCTCTCCAACCCTGTTCCTGGAGAGCTACCCTCCTGTAGGTTTACACCAGGGCTCTCCAACCCTGTTCCTGGAGAGCTACCCTCCTGTAGGTTTACACCAGGGCTCTCCAACCCTGTTCCTGGAGAGCTGCCCTCCTGTAGGTTTACACTCTAACCCCAGATGTAACTAACCTGATTCATCTTATCAACCAGCTTATTATTAGGATCAGCTGCGCTTGATTGGAGTTGGATTGAAAACCTGCTAAACATGGATTAACCATGTGATTATTTCGGTCTCTCTGTGACCGCCGATAACTTCAGAACGAAGTTGACTACAAATACAAAGTTGCCAATGTCTTGCCACAATTGATACAAACAAGTGACATATAAAAAATATATGTTTCAAATGAAAACCAAGATGACTGCATTAAAATACATTGAACAAAAATATAAACGCAACATGTAAAGTGTTGGTCCCATGTTTCATGAGCTGAAATAAAAGATCCCAGAAACGTTCCACACGCACAAAAAGCTTATTTCTCTCAAATGTTGTGCACAAATTTGTTTACGGCCCTTTTAGTGTGCATTTCTCCTTTGCCAAGATAATCTGTCCACCTGACAACTGTGGCATATCAAGAAGCTGATTAAACTGCATGATCATTACACAGGTGCACCTTGTGCTGGGGACAATAAAAGGCCACTAAAATGTGCAGTTTTGTCAAACAACACAATGCTACAGATGTCTCAAGTTGATGGCAGGCATAATCTATGGACAACGAACACAATTGCATTTTATCGATGGCAATTTGAATGCACCAAAATACCGTGACGAGATCCTGAGGCCCATTTTTTATTTTATTTTACGTCTCTGTGACCAACAGATGCATATCTGAACCAACTCCATACTAATGCCCATAATTTTGGAATGAGTTGTTCGACAAGCAGGTGTCCACATACTTTTGGTCATGTAGTGTATATTCGTAAGGGGGCCAGATGTAAAAAAATAAAAAAATAAAGGTTCCTTGCAGGGAACATGAAGCCAGACATTTTCCACATGCGACTGCTAAATGACTAAAATGTAAATGTAAATGATTAAAGCTCAGAATTTATCAAAGGGCCAGTATAAATTAATAAACGGTTTTCTGTTAAAACGATAAAGAAAAAAAATCATACAATTTCACATCAATGAAGGATAATGGTCCTATTACATGTGTATAACTGCTAGGGCTGGGCATTGATGTTATATGACATTTACATTTTAGTCATTTAGCCGACACTCTTATCCAGAGCGACTTACAGTTAGTGAGTGCATACATTTTCATACTGGCCCCCCGTGGGAAACGAACCCACAAACCTGGCGTTGCAAGCGCCATGCTCTACCAACTGAGCTACAGGGGACTACATATATCTACCACGACCCTTTACAGACATAGAACGCAGCTACAGTAACATGTCCATAGCGACAATTGGTAACTTTACAGGGCCAGGCAGAACGCCAGGGAGAGAGAGGAGGGCCAGGCAGAACGCCAGGGAGAGAGGGGAGGGCCAGGCAGAATGCCAGGGAGAGAGGGGAGGGCCAGGCAGAACGCCAGGGAGAGAGGGGAGGGCCAGGCAGAACGCCAGGGAGAGAGGGGAGGGCCAGGCAGAACGCCAGGGAGAGAGGGGAGGGCCAGGCAGAACGCCAGGGAGAGAGGGGAGGGCCAGGCAGAACGCCAGGGAGAGAGGGGAGGGCCAGGCAGAACGCCAGGGAGAGAGGGGAGGGCCAGGCAGAACGCCAGGGAGAGAGGGGAGGGCCAGGCAGAACGCCAGGGAGAGAGGGGAGGGCCAGGCAGAACGCCAGGGAGAGAGGGGAGGGCCAGGCAGAACGCCAGGGAGAGAGGGGAGGGCCAGGCAGAACGCCAGGGAGAGAGGGGAGGGCCAGGCAGAACGCCAGGGAGAGAGAGGAGGGCCAGGCAGAACGCCAGGGAGAGAGGGGAGGGCCAGGCAGAACGCCAGGGAGAGAGGGGAGGGCCAGGCAGAATGCCAGGGAGAGAGGGGAGGGCCAGGCAGAACGCCAGGGAGAGAGGGGAGGGCCAGGCAGAACGCCAGGGAGAGAGGGGAGGGCCAGGCAGAACGCCAGGGAGAGAGGGGAGGGCCAGGCAGAACGCCAGGGAGAGAGGGGGGCAGGCGGAACGCCAGGGAGAGAGGGGGGCAGGCGGAACGCCAGGGAGAGAGAGGAGGGCCAGGCGGAACGCCAGGGAGAGAGAGGAGGGCCAGGCAGAACGCCAGGGAGAGAGAGGAGGGCCAGGCGGAACGCCAGGGAGAGAGGGGAGGGCCAGGCGGAACGCAAGGGAGAGAGGGGAGGGCCAGGCGGAACGCCAGGGAGAGAGGGGAGGGCCAGGCGGAACGCCAGGGAGAGAGGGGGGGCAGGCGGAACGCCAGGGAGAGAGAGGAGGGCCAGGCAGAACGCCAGGGAGAGAGGGGAGGGCCAGGCGGAACGCCAGGGAGAGAGGGGGGCAGGCGGAATGCCAGGGGAGAGAGGGGAGGGCCAGGCGGAACGCCAGGGAGAGAGGGGGGCAGGCGGAACGCCAGGGAGAGAGAGGAGGGCCAGGCAGAACGCCAGGGAGAGAGAGGAGGGCCAGGCGGAACGCCAGGGAGAGAGGGGGAGGGCCAGGCGGAACGCCAGGGAGAGAGGGGGGCAGGCGGAACGCCAGGGAGAGAGAGGAGGGCCAGGCAGAACGCCAGGGAGAGAGGGGAGGGCCAGGCAGAACGCCCAGGGAGAGAGGGGAGGGCCAGGAGAACGCCAGGGAGAGAGGGGAGGGCCAGGCAGAACGCCAGGGAGAGAGGGGGGGGACAGGCAGGGGAGGGGGGCCAGGCAGAACGCCAGGGAGAGAGGGGAGGGCCAGGCAGAACGCCAGGGAGAGAGGGGAGGGCAGGCAGAACGCCAGGGAGAGAGGGGGAGGGCCAGGCAGAACGCCAGGGAGAGAGGGGAGGGCCAGGCAGAACGCCAGGGAGAGAGGGGAGGGCCAGGCAGAACGCCAGGGAGAGAGGGGAGGGCCAGGCAGAACGCCAGGGAGAGAGGGGAGGGCCAGGCAGAACGCCAGGGAGAGAGGGGAGGGCCAGGCAGAACGCCAGGGAGAGAGGGGAGGGCCAGGCAGAACGCCAGGGAGAGAGGGGAGGGCCAGGCAGAACGCCAGGGAGAGAGGGGAGGGCCAGGCAGAACGCCAGGGAGAGAGGGGAGGGCCAGGCAGAACGCCAGGGAGAGAGGGGAGGGCCAGGCAGAACGCCAGGGAGAGAGGGGAGGGCCAGGCAGAACGCCAGGGAGAGAGGGGAGGGCCAGGCAGAACGCCAGGGAGAGAGAGGAGGGCCAGGCAGAACGCCAGGGAGAGAGGAGGGCCAGGCGGAACGCCAGGGAGAGAGGGGAGGGCCAGGCAGAACGCCAGGAAGAGAGGGGGGCAGGCAGAACGCCAGGGAGAGAGGGGGGCAGGCGGAACGCCAGGGAGAGAGGGGGGCAGGCAGAACGCCAGGAAGAGAGGGGGCCAGGCAGAACGCCAGGGAGAGAGGGGAGGGCCAGGCAGAACGCCAGGGAGAGAGGGGGGCAGGCGGAACGCCAGGGAGAGAGGGGGGCAGGCAGAACGCCAGGAAGAGAGGGGGCCAGGCAGAACGCCAGGGAGAGAGGGGAGGGCCAGGCAGAACGCCAGGGAGAGAGGGGAGGGCCAGGCAGAACGCCAGGGAGAGAGGGGAGGGCCAGGCGGAACGCCAGGGAGAGAGGGGGGCAGGCAGAACGCCAGGAAGAGAGGGGGGCAGGCAGAACGCCAGGGAGAGAGAGGGGCAGGCAGAACGCCAGGGAGAGAGGGGGGCAGGCAGAACGCCAGGAAGAGAGGGGGGCAGGCAGAACGCCAGGGAGAGAGGGGGGGCAGGCAGAACGCCAGGGAGAGAGGGGGGCCAGGCAGAACGCCAGGAAGAGAGGGGGGCCAGGCAGAACGCCAGGAAGAGAGGGGGGCAGGCAGAACGCCAGGGAGAGAGGGGGGCAGGCGGAACGCCAGGGAGAGAGGGGGGCAGGCAGAACGCCAGGGAGAGAGGGGGGCAGGCAGAACGCCAGGGAGAGAGGGGGGCAGGCAGAACGCCAGGGAGAGAGGGGAGGGCCAGGCAGAACGCCAGGGAGAGAGGGGGGCAGGCGGAACGCCAGGGAGAGAGGGGGGCCAGGCAGAACGCCAGGGAGAGAGGGGAGGGCCAGGCAGAACGCCAGGGAGAGAGGGGAGGGCCAGGCAGAACGCCAGGCAGAGAGGGGAGGGCCAGGCAGAACGCCAGGGAGAGAGGGGAGGGCCAGGCAGAACGCCAGGGAGAGAGGGGAGGGCCAGGCAGAACGCCAGGGAGAGAGGGGGGCAGGCGGAACGCCAGGGAGAGAGGGGAGGGCCAGGCAGAACGCCAGGGAGAGAGGGGGGCAGGCGGAACGCCAGGGAGAGAGGGGGGCAGGCAGAACGCCAGGGAGAGAGGGGAGGGCCAGGCAGAACGCCAGGGAGAGAGGGGAGGGCCAGGCAGAACGCCAGGCAGAGAGGGGAGGGCCAGGCAGAACGCCAGGGAGAGAGGGGAGGGCCAGGCAGAACGCCAGGGAGAGAGGGGAGGGCCAGGCAGAACGCCAGGGAGAGAGGGGGGCAGGCGGAACGCCAGGGAGAGAGGGGAGGGCCAGGCAGAACGCCAGGGAGAGAGGGGGGCAGGCGGAACGCCAGGGAGAGAGGGGGGCAGGCAGAAGAATGCTCATATGTTTTGGTAATCTGTATCTCGCAATGTCATGCAGTATCCTAAAGTTCACCTTATTTGAATTACACAACTTTTCCGGGCCTTTATAGCCTATCGACTAAAATAATAATATGTTTTGTGATAACTGCACTGTGATTTTAATTAATTGGTTAGGAATTTTTGTTAACGTTAAGGATTCCAACTTTGTTTAAATGTTTTAACGTTCACACCCCTAGTGTATCGGGAAACCGGGCCCATGCTCCCATGACGCACTTAGTGACCATTCTCTCTGCATGCTATTTTGGGAAACGCATGGTAATTATTTGTCCGTAAAAAAAAAAAAACTTGTAAGCCGAAGTTCCATCGCTATTGGGAAACAGGGCCCTGGTCTACACTGAGCTATTGGGAAACCGGGCCCTGGTCTACACTGAGCTATTGGAAAACAGGGCCCTGGTCTACACTGGGCTATTGGGAAACCGGGCCCTGGTCTACACTGGGCTATTGGAAAACCGGGCCCTGGTCTACACTGGGCTATTGGAAAACAGGGCCCTGGTCTACACTGAGCTATTGGGAAACAGGGCCCTGGTCTACACTGAGCTATTGGGAAACAGGGCCCTGGTCTACACTGAGCTATTGGGAAACAGGGCCCTGGTCTACAACTGGGCTATTGGGAAAACAGGGCCCTGGTCTACACTGAGCTATTGGGAAACAGGGCCCTGGTCTACACTGAGCTATTGGGAAACAGGGCCCTGGTCTACACTGAGCTATTGGAAAACAGGGCCCTGGTCTACACTGAGCTATTGGAAAACAGGGCCCTGGTCTACACTGAGCTATTGGAAAACAGGGCCCTGGTCTACACTGAGCTATTGGAAAACAGGGCCCTGGTCTACACTGGGCTATTGGGAAACAGGGCCCTGGTCTACACTGAGCTATTGGGAAACCGGGCCCTGGTCTACACTGGGCTATTGGAAAACAGGGCCCTGGTCTACACTGAGCTATTGGGAAACAGGGCCCTGGTCTACACTGGGCTATTGGAAAACAGGGCCCTGGTCTACACTGGGCTATTGGGAAACAGGGCCCTGGTCTACACTGAGCTATTGGAAAACAGGGCCCTGGTCTACACTGAGCTATCAACTTCATGTGTTTGATTTAACCAACCTGGACCAGATGGGTATTCCAGAAATCCATATTAGTGAGATCTGTCAAACCAGAATTTGAGAAAACTCCGGATTTTTGGATCCAGAAAGAGAGCTCTGTGCATGACTCAGAGACTCTACACTGTAACAGGGCATGTGTAATGTAATTATATGTGTAGTTCTAAACCTAATTGAAAGACTTCATATTGGCCATATACCACACCCCCTCGTACCTTACTGCTTAATTATCCTATATACTTGGCAGAAATAAAATGTGTCTGCAATATAACACTGATATGCTGTTCCGTCCCCATGCAGGTCACTATGATGGATTTCTCCTTGAGGACGGTGGTTATGCCTGCCTCCCCTTTCTGATGACCCCATACGACCTCAAGTTTCTTTGCAGCGCGACCACACCAGTTGAATGAATGACCTACATCTCCTTGGAAACCACACACACACACACACACACCTATCGACCTTCCCTATCCCACTCAGACAGAGCCAAATCATCCCAGAGGGGATCCTGTTTGCATTCGAGACTAACTGATTGAGTTCACAATCCATCCCGGCTGGGATCAGAGGAAGAATTCACTGCATTAGAAAAGCTCTAATAGACTTTACTTTCTTGGACTGAGAACAGAGAGAGGCAACACTGACATACAAGTAATTTACCCTACTACATTCTTAGTTTCCTCTGAAAGTGGAATTGTGTGTGTAAAGTGGTGGAAGTCATTGAGTATTGTAAAATCGCAGGTCTAATTTACAAAACCCATGATCAATACTGTCCCGGCACTGTCCACATCGGATGCTAATTGGTAGCCTAGTTCAGGTCTGTTCCTGGTTGGTGACGAAGTCCTCTCACACTTTATATTTTCATGAATGAGATCATGTCGTTCTCAGAAGTCCTGTGAATGTGTTGTTGTATTTCCCTGTGTTGAGTTCAAAGCCCATTCATATTGATCTAAGGAGCCTCTCACCTCAATAGCTGTGTTGTATCCCATTGTACCCGGTCTTTATATAATATCTTTTAACTACCTAATTTTCAACTTATTTAGTAAATAAAACAATGAATTCATTCTTTGTGGCCTTGAAGTCATTTGGGAGTGACTGGTTTTTTGCAGCTCCAGCGCTAACGACTATTCAGAATGAGAATTAGTAATTCACTATTGATTAGACTATTGTTGATATAGTAGTGATTAAAATGGTACAACAGTTAATGATAACTACTGATAGTTAATTCAAGGGTTTCTCTATATTAGCATAATTACACTGAACAAAAATATAAATGCAACATGTAAAGTGTTGGTCCCATGTTTCATGAGCTGAAATAAAAGATCCTAGAAATGTTCCATACGCACAAAAAGCTTATTTCTCTAAAGATGTTGCACAAATTTGTTTACATCCCTGTTATTAAGCATTTCTCCTTTGCTAAGATAATCCATCCACCTGACAGGCGTGGCATATCAAGAAGCTGCTTCAACAACACCTTGTGCTGGGGACAATAAAAGGCCACTCTAAAATGTGCACTTTTGTCACACAACACAATGCCACAGATATCTCAAGTTGAGGGAGCGTGAAATTGGCATGCTGACTGCAGCAATGTCCACCAGAACTGTTGCCAGAGAATTCAATGTTAATTTCTCTACCATAAGCCGCCTCCAACGTTGTTTTAGAGAATTTGGCAGTACGTCCAACCGGCCTCACAACCGCAGACCACGTGTAACTATGCCAGCCCAGGACCTCCACATATGGCTTCTTCACCTGCGGGATCGTCAGAGACCAGCCACCGGACAGTTGATGAAACTGTGGGTTTGCACAACTGAATAATTTCTGCACAAGCTCATCTGCATGCTCGTCAACCTCACCAGGGTCTTGACCTAACTGCAGTTCGGTGTCGTAACCGACTTCACTGGCATGCTGGAAAAGTGTGCTCTTCATGGATGAATCCCAGAATCAACTGTCCCGGGCAGATAGCGTTTATGGCATTGTGTGGGAGAGCGGTTTGCTGATGTCAACGTTGTGAACAGAGTGCCCCATTGTGGCGGTGGGGTTATTGCACGGGCAGACATAAGTTACGGACAACGAACACAATTGCATTTTATCTACAGCAGTTTGAATGCACAGAGATACCGTGGCAAGATCCTGAGGCCCATTGTCGTGCCATTCATCCGCCGCCATCACCTCATGTTGCTTCAGCATAATGCACGGCCCCATGTCGCTAGGATCTGTACACAATTCCTGGAAGCGGAACATTTCCCAGTTCTTCCATGGCCTGCATTCACCAGACGTTACCCATTGATCTGGATCGACGTCTACAACAGCGTGTTCCAGTTCCCGCCAATATCCAGCAACTTCACACAGCCAATGAAGAGGAGTGGGACATTCCACAATCAACAGCTTGATCAACTCTATGCAAAGAAGATATGTCACGCTGCATGAGGCAAATGGTGGTCACACCAGATATAGACTGGTTTTCTGATCCAGGCCACTACCTTTTTTTTTTTAAAGGTATCTGTGACCAACATATGCATACCTGTATTCCCAGTCATGTGAAATCCATAGATTAGGGCCTAATTTATTTATTTCAATAGACTGATTTCCTTATATGAACTGTAACTCAGTAAAATCTTAGAAATTGTTGCATGTTGCGTTTATATTTTTGTTCAGTGTACCTGCGGCACTCCAGGAACTGGGTTGCCTAGCCTTGTCCTACAGGGTTGTTGAACACAGCCATGGGCCATTACGTTTCAGAGGAAGGCCCAGCGCTGTTGAACGCAGATCTGTTTCAGAGGAAGGCCCAGTGCTGTTGAACGCAGCTCTGTTTCAGAGGAAGGCCCAGCGCTGTTGAACGCAGCTCTGTTTCAGAGGAAGGCCCAGTGCTGTTGAACGCAGCTCTGTTTCAGAGGAAGGCCCAGTGCTGTTGAACGCAGCTCTGTTTCAGAGGAAGGCCCAGCGCTGTTGAACGCAGCTCTGTTTCAGAGGAAGGCCCAGCTCTGTTGAACGCAGCTCTGTTTCAGAGGAAGGCCCAGTGCTGTTGAACGCAGCTCTGTTTCAGAGGAAGGCCCAGCGCTGTTGAACGCAGCTCTGTTTCAGAGGAAGGCCCAGCGCTGTTGAACGCAGCTCTGTTTCAGAGGAAGGCCCAGCGCTGTTGAACGCAGCTCTGTTTCAGAGGAAGGCCCAGTGCTGTTGAACGCAGCTCTGTTTCAGAGGAAGGCCCAGTGCTGTTGAACGCAGCCTAGTAGTTGTGTTACACTGGTGGTGTGAACTTTCCTTAGGGGGCTCCGTTTCTCTGGAACACACACACAGGGGTGAACACTTTTTAATTTATAAACGTTGTGTACGTACAAAATATACCCCGAAACATGCGTGCGCCAGTTCACACGCAAAAGTTGGCATTTATCAAAACTGAAATTGATGTGAGAACGTGCTTAGCTCTCTCCCGCAATCTTTAGACCAGTTCAGACCAGTTTAGTACGCAGTTTCTAATAGTTGAAGTATTGCATTGTAAGCAGGCAGTAGCCTAGTGTTTTGTGAAAATGGGAGATATGATGACATGCTTATTCATTACAACAAAAAATTGGAAAATATTATGACAAGTTGCAATCATTAGTGAGTAGAGCGAAGATCCATTTTCTTGCATCTTGCACTCTAAAATAGTTAGAAATAGGCCGGGGGCACCGGCTAGTCGAGGTAATTGAGGTAATATGTACGTGTAGGTAGAGTTAAAGTGACTATGCATAGTTAATAAACAGAGTGGCATTAGCGTAAAAGATGGGGTGGTTGGGTGGGGGGGACAATGCATATAGTCCAGGTAGCCATTTGGTTAGCTGTTCAGGAGTCTTATGGCTTGGGAGTAGAAGCTGTTAAGAAGCCTTTTGAACCTAGGCTTGGCGCTCAGGTACCGCTTGCCGTGCGGTAGCAGAGAGAACAGTCTATGACTAAATCTTATCAGTCTCCTGAGGGGGAATAGGCTTTGTCGTGCCCTCTTCACAACTGTCTTGGTGTGTTTGAACCATGTTATGGAACTTGAAGCTCTCAACATGCTCCACTACAGCCCCGTCGATGAGAATGGGGGCGTGCTCAGTCCTCCTTTTCCTGTAGTCCACAATCATCTCCTTTGTCTTGATCACTTTGAGGGAGAGGTTGTTATCCTGGCACCACACGGCCAGGTCTCTGACCTCCTCCCTATAGGCTGTCTCGTTGTCGGTGATCAGGCCTACAACTTGTGTCGTCGGCAAACTTAATGATGGTGTTGGAGTCGTGCCTGGTCATGGGTGAACAGGGAGTTCAGGAGGGGACTGAGCACGCACCCCTGTGGAGCCCCCGTGTTGAGGATCAGCGTGGCAGATGTGTTGTTACCTAACCTTACCACCTGGGGGCGCCCCGTCAGGAAGTCCAGGATCCAGTTGCAGAGGGAGGTGTTTAGTCCCAGGATCCTTAGCTTAGTGATGAGCTTTGAGGGCACTATGGTGTTGAACGCTGAGCTGTAGTCAATGAAAAGCATTCATACGTAGGTGTTCCTTTTGTCTATGTGTGAAAGGGCAGTGTGGAGTGCAATAGAGATTCCATCATCTGTGGATCTGTTGGGGCGGTATGCAAATTGGAGTGGGTCTAGGGTTTCTGGGATAATGGTGTTGATGTGAGCCATGACCAGCCTTTCAAAGCACTTCATGGCTACAGACGTGAGTGCTACGGGTCTGTAGTCATTTAGGCAGGTTACCTTAGTGTTCTTGGGCACAGAGCTAAATCAAACAGTCGTCCGGAACAGCTGGGGCTCTCAAGCATGCTTCAGTGTTGCTTGCCTCAAAGCGAGCATAGAAGTAATTTAGCTCGTTTGGTAGGCTCACGTCACTGGGCAGCTCGAGGCTGTGCTTCCCTTTGTAGTCTGTAATAGTTTGCAAGCCCTGCCACATCCGATAAGCGTCGGAGCACGATTCAATCTTAGTCCTGTATTGACCCTTTGCCTGTTTGATGGTTCATCAGAGGGCATAGATGGATTTCTTATAAGCATCCGGGTTAGAGTCCCACGGAAGCTCTACCCTTTAGCTCAGTGCGGATGTTTCCTGTAATCCATGGCTTCTGGTTGGGGTATGTACGTACGGTCACTGTGGGGACGACGTCATCGATACACTTATTGATGAAGCCAGTGACTGATGTGGTGTACTCCTCAATGCCATCGGAAGAATCCCGGAACATATTCCAGTCTGTGCTAGCAAAACAGTCATGTAGCTTAGCATCTGCTTCATCTAACCACTTCTTTATTGACCGAGTCACTGGTGCTTCCTGCTTTAGTTTTTGCTTGTAAGCAGCAATCAGGATAGAATTATGGTCAGATTTGCCAAATGGAGGGCGAGGGAGAGCTTTGTACACGGCTCTGTGTGTGGAGTAAAGGTGGTCTAGAGTTTTTTTTCTTTCTCTGGTTGCACATTTAACATGCTGGTCAAATGGATGTAAGTTTCCCTGCATTAAAGTCCCCGGCCACTAGGAGCGCCGCCTCTGGATGAGCGTTTCCTGTTTGCTTATGGCCTTATACAGCTCATTGAGTGCGGTCTTAGTGCTCCTGAGTGGCGCAGCGGTCTAAGGCACTGCATCTCAGTGGTAGAGGCGTCACTACAGACCCTGGTTCCATTCCAGGCTGTATCACAACCGGCCGTGACTGGGAGTCCATAGGGCGGTGCACAATTGGCCCAGCGTCGTCCGGGTTAGGATTTGGCCGGGGTAGGCCGTCATTGTAAATAAGAATTTGTTCTTAACTGACTTGCCTAGTTAAATAAAGGTTAAATAAATAAATAAAATTGTGCCAGCATTGGTTTGTGGTGGTAAATAGACAGCTACGAAAAATATAGATGAAAACTCTCTTGGTAAATACACTGCTCAAAAAAATTAAGGGAACACTAAAATAACACATCCTAGATCTGAATGAATGAAATTATCTTATTAAATACTTTTTTCTTTACATAGTTGAATGTGCTGACAACAAAATCACACAAAAAGTATCAATGGAAATCAAATGTATCATCCCATGGAGGTCTGGATTTGGAGTCACCCTCAAAATTAAAGTGGAAAGCCACACTACAGGCTGATCCAACTTTGATGTAATGTCCTTAAAACAAGTCAAAATTAGGCTCAGTAGTGTGTGTGGCCTCCACGTGCCTGTATGACCTCCCTACAACGCCTGGGCATGCTCCTGATGAGGTGGCGGATGGTCTTCTGAGGGATCTCCTCCCAGACCTGGACTAAAGCATCCGCCAACTCCTGGACAGTCTGTGGTGCAATGTGGCGTTGGTGGATGGAGCGAGACATGATGTCCCAGATGTGCTCAATTGGATTCAGGTATGGGGAACGGGCATGCCAGTCCATAGGATCAATGCCTTCCTCTTGCAGGAACTGCTGACACACTCCAGCCACATGAGGTCTAGCATTGTCTTGCATTAGGAGGAACCCAGGGCCAACCGCACCAGCATATGGTCTCACAAGGGGTCTGAGGATCTCATCTCAGTACCTAATGGCAGTCAGGCTACCTCTGGCGAGCACATGGAGGGCTGTGCGGCCCCCCAAAGAAATGCCAACCCACACCATGACTGACCCACCGCCAAACCGGTCATGCTGGAGGATGTTGCAGGCAGCAGAACGTTCTCCACGGCGTCTCCAGACTCTGTCACGTCTGTCACGTGCTCAGTGTGAACCTGCTTTCATCTGTGAAGAGCACAGGGCGCCAGTGGTGAATTTGCCAATCTTGGTGTTCTCTGGCAAATGTCAAACGTCCTGCACGGTGTTGGGCTGTAAGCACAACCCCCACCTGTGGACGTCGGGCCCTCATGGAGTCTGTTTCTGACCGTTTGAGCAGACACATGCACATTTGTGGCCTGCTGGAGGTCATTTTGCAGGGCTCTGGCAGTGCTCCTCCTGCTCCTCCTTGCACAAAGGCGGAGGTAGCAGTCCTGCTGCTGGGTTGTTGCCCTCCTACGGCCTCCTCCACGTCTCCTGATGTACTGGCCTGTCTCCTGGTAGCGCCTCCATGCTCTGGACACTACGCTGACAGACACAGCAAACCTTCTTGCCACAGCTCGCATTGATGTGCCATCCTGGATGAGCTGCACTACCTGAGCCACTTGTGTGGGTTGTAGACTCCGTCTCATGCTACCACTAGAGTGAAAGCACCGCCAGCATTCAAAAAGTGACCAAAACATCAGCCAGGAAGCATAGGAACTGAGAAGTGGTCTGTGGTCACCACCTGCAAAACCAGTCCTTTATTGGGGGGTGTCTTGCTAATTGCCAATAATTTCCACCTGTTGTCTATTCCATTTGCACAACAGCATGTGAAATTTATTGTCAATCAGTGTTGCTTCCTAAGTGGACAGTTTGATTTCACAGAAGTGTGATTGACTTGGAGTTACATTGTGTTGTTTAAGTGTTCCCTTTATTTTTTTGAGCAGTGTAGTATGGTCTACAGCTTATCATGAGATGCTAAAAAAAGTGTTAAACAAATCAAAATATATTTTATATTTGAGATTCTTCAAATAGCCACCCAAATAGTGTGCAAAGCTGTCATCAAGGTAAAAGGTGGCTACTTTGAAGATTCAAAAATATGTTTTGATTTTTTAAAACACTTTTTTGGTTACTACATGATTCCATATGTGTTATTTCATAGTTTTGATGTCTTCACTATTATTCTAATATGTAGAAAATAGTAAAAAATAAAGAAAAACCCTTGAATGAGTAGGTGTGACTTGTTTAAAGAAATGTACTTATTGTGATCGAGATGTAGTTGTCCCTGATTGCACTGACTTTGCTCACAGCTGCTTGTTTGAAGAAGTGTACTTACTGTGATCAAGAGGTGGTTGTCCCACTGGCTATCCTAAGTTGAATGCACCAACTTGTAAGTCGCTCTGGATAAGAGCGTCTGCTAAATGACTTAAATGTAAATGTGTGTCCAAACCTTTGACTGGTACTGTATATCATATTACTTTAGTCTTGCTATGTAACTATTGTGAAGAAAAAAAAAAAAAGACATGTAAAATGTGTGTAGAACGTAACAAAAGAAAAAGCTGCGGTGGTGGATGAGCCCAACATTTTTCAGAAATTTCAATAAATCAGTTAACCGTCTTAAAATGTGCTAAATGCTCTGCAGTTGTGCATTTGGTTTGCTAATTTCGGAGCTAGTTAGCTATCTAGCTAAGTGCTTAGCTTCTTGCTAAATCAAGCTTCACCTGGTAACAGCAGAGAATCCCCTCCTGGATCAAGAGCCTTGCTGTCTAATATTTGTTTTGTGCAACAAACTGTTACTAGCATTTTTGAGTTACTTGTATAGCTTTATGAGCTGGGATGTCCTGCAAATAGTTTAGGTCAGAGACTGTATAAAATGTTCGCAATGTGCTCGTTAGCATTTAGTTAGCATTCGCTATGGGATTTGACATGTACTTGTTAGCATTGTTTAACCTTCGGTTCTCAGAGGCTCAGTGGGGTTTGAAAATAGCGACCTTTGTGTTCAGTGCTGGTATTACCGAACATCCTGGGATGTTACAAGGTCGGTATGAAGGTATGACAATCTGGATACCGCCCAACCCTAACATATACACTGTCACATAGTAATATCGCTCACACACAAACAATACGACACACACTATACCTGGCAGTCGATCTCGCAGTAGTAAGCTTGTTTACACTTGCCACATTTGGAGAGGCCTTCCCTCCTGCAGAGAGAGCGAGGGGGAGAAAATTGTCAAATTTTGTTGTTGAATGTTGAGATGAGCGAGACATCAAGAATAGAAAGACTCTCTCTCTCACACACACACACACACACACACACACACACACACACACACACACACGTTCTAGTGTGGGTTCTCACCCATCTCTCTGTTAAGGGCAGATGGTGCAGAGAAAGGTCACTTTTCTATATATAAATCTGGGCATGTCTCCAGAAACAAGCGAGGCTGTGGTGTGTGTGGGTCTGTGTAGGCTACATATAAAAAGGCCTCTCCTGTCCTAGAGAGAGTCAGGAATGATTCCAGAACCAAACCAGATATATTCTCTGGTGTGTTCCAACCATATACAATGGTTTGGTTTCTGCTCCACTCCGTCTCAGCCTCACGGTGTGTCCCAACAAACTAAAGTGGTTTCCGCTCCACTCTGTCTCAGCCTCACGGTATGTCCCAACAAACTAAAGTGGTTTCCGCTCCACTCTGTCTCAGCCTCACGGTGTGTCCCAACAAACTAAAGTGGTTTCCGCTCCACTCCGTCTCAGCCTCACGGTGTGTCCCAACAAACTAAAGTGGTTTCCGCTCCACTCTGTCTCAGCCTCACGGTGTGTCCCAACAAACTAAAGTGGTTTCCGCTCCACTCCGTCTCAGCCTCAAGGTGTGTCCCAACAAACTAAAGTGGTTTCCGCTCCACTCCGTCTCAGCCTCAAGGTGTGTCCCAACAAACTAAAGTGGTTTCCGCTCCACTCTGTCTCAGCCTCACGGTGTGTCCCAACAAACTAAAGTGGTTTCCGCTCCACTCCGTCTCAGCCTCAGGGTGTGTCCCAACAAACTAAAGTGGTTTCCGCTCCACTCCGTCTCAGCCTCAGGGTGTGTCCCAACAAACTAAAGTGGTTTCCGCTCCACTCTGTCTCAGCCTCACGGTGTGTCCCAACAAACTAAAGTGGTTTCCACTCCAATCTCGGTCTCAGCCTGTAGCCTTCAGACTAAACAAGACCAGGGTTGGGTCAATATAATTCCAATAAATTCAGAAACTAAATCAAATTCCAAATGCAATTCCAAATCTTCCTCATTGAGAACCATTGAAGAGAATTTGAATTTCAGTGTACTTACTGATTTGACCCCAACCCTGAACAAGACCTCACATCTATTTAGCATTTCTGAGTGAGCCTGTGACTGATTTTATCAGTCCTGTAATGAAACTCAAAATTGCTTCAATAGTGATGCAGGTGCTGAGAGAGGTGTGTGAGTGTCAGAGAGAGAGAGAGAGACAGGGGGTGTGTCTGTCCCTGCAATGCAGCTGCAGCAGTCCTGTGTCTCCAGTCCTCTCCTCGATGTTCTCTATCAGTGGTCTCCTCCTCTCTCCAGTCCTCTCCTTGATGTTCTCTATCAGTGGTCTCCTCCTCTCTCCAGTCCTCTCCTTGATGTTCTCTATCAGTGGTCTCCTCCTCTCTCCAGTCCTCTCCTTGATGTTCTCTATCAGTGGTCTCCTTCTCTCTCCAGTCCTCTCCTTGATGTTCTCCATCAGTGGTCTCCTCCTCTCTCCAGTCCTCTCCTCGATGTTCTCCATCAGTGGTCTCCTCTCTCCAGTCCTCTCCTTGATGTTCTCTATCAGTGGTCTCCTCCTCTCTCCAGTCCTCTCCTTGATGTTCTCTATCAGTGGTCTCCTTCTCTCTCCAGTCCTCTCCTTGATGTTCTCTATCAGTGGTCTCCTCCTCTCTCCAGTCCTCTCCTTGATGTTCTCTATCAGTGGTCTCCTCCTCTCTCCAGTCATCTCCTTGATGTTCTCTATCAGTGGTCTCCTCCTCTCTCCAGTCCTCTCCTCGATGTTCTCCATCAGTGGTCTCCTCTCTCCAGTCCTCTCCTTGATGTTCTCTATCAGTGGTCTCCTCCTCTCTCCAGTCCTCTCCTTGATGTTCTCTATCAGTGGTCTCCTTCTCTCTCCAGTCCTCTCCTTGATGTTCTCTATCAGTGGTCTCCTCCTCTCTCCAGTCCTCTCCTTGATGTTCTCTATCAGTGGTCTCCTCCTCTCTCCAGTCCTCTCCTCGATGTTCTCCATCAGTGGTCTCCTCCTCTCTCCAGTCCTCTCCTTGATGTTCTCTATCAGTGGTCTCCTCCTCTCTCCAGTCCTCTCCTCGATGTTCTCTATCAGTGGTCTCCTCCTCTCTCCAGTCCTCTATCAGTGGTCTCCTCCTCTCCTCAGGCTCTCCACCACCTCCCCTCTCCACTGACGTGAAAGAACTGGGCTGGGTTTAAGATCGTCTTTCATCCATTTATTTTCAAACCCAAGTGCAAGCAAACTGTGTGTGTGTCCTTTGACTTCAACTGAGTGTAAACAGGGAGGAAGCTGCGAAGCGAAAGGATTTACTCCACCCAAAATCTGTCCGCCTGAGTTATGCCCCTTTTTTCCGACTAGTACGTGAACGCGACATGATACTGAATGGGCCTGCTCAGAAGAAACAACTGTGTTTTGTCAGCTGCTGAAAGTCATGCTGAACCCACATGGTAGGGAGTGACAACCACTTCCAGTCACAATGCCTTCAAGGATGTCGAATTATTGCTACAACGTTATGGTTTGAGAACGCCTTACTGTAGAAAAATCGACAACATAACAGCCCCAATAATCAAGTGACAAGAGAGCGAAAGATCCTATTCGTGCAGAATGAGTTTGGCCAGTAGTTGGATAGAAACACAAATAAAACTCTTAATCTCATTTCTATTGTAGAACCCAAACCCGTCATGTTCTGACAGTTGTCCGGTGCCATACCTGGTGAAGCAGTATTCACAGTGCGCTCCTCTCTCGTTCACCGTCAGCACGTAGGAATAGGCAGGACAGGCGAACACGAGGTCTCCGACAGCAAAGTGTTTCACAGCCCGCAGTCCCCTGCCCTTCCCCGGGCTAGCGAACCTCTCTGTCCCCGCTATCCCCTCGTTCTTCGTTATGCCACTCATCTTTAATGCCGTGGTCTGTTGAGCTAGGTGACTAGCTACGCTACTTTTCACTTGCTTGTTGACTACCCGAGCGTGCTGACGTTTGCAAGACAGCGAGCTAGATAACGTTGGCTGTGTCCTATTGCAAAAATACAATTATCAGACTTGCTAGCGTCGGCTACACACACACACTGACTACAGCCTCTCACCAATACCAAACAGAAAAGCTATCATCAGCTAGCTAGCCTAGCATCATATGCTTAGCTTGTCAGTACTACGACCAGTCATTGACTACGACAGAGCTACAGCATACCGAGGTCCTAATGCTACGTTCAAGTGCTAGTCGGAACTAGGAAACTCGGATATTGCAGACTTGCTAACGGGTTGTACTTATACACGTGCCGCGTTCAACCCGTTAGCAAGTCGGAGTTTCCTATTTACGACTAGAAGATGAAAGCGGCATAATGTCCGTATAGCTTCAGACGTTGCTGGAGATAATACCAAATGTTTTATAACTAGCTCATTGTTCTACCTATCTGTGGTATTATCACACTTTCACTAGCCTCCCATTGGAAACGACATGGTGTGGTCTATCTTGGTAGGCAGGGCAACCCAGTTTGAGTGATTTCTGGTATATCATCAAAGTTTTTGGAATCATTCAGCAGCACAATACCGTTGGAAATTAATGTTGAAAGTTAAATTTATATTCCTAAAACTTAAGTTGAAAATTATGCTGTCGCTGCTTCCTGTTAACAAGACATTTTGATAAATAGCCCAATGCCAAAACACCGTTTTAAAGTGTCCAAAGCCCTGATTAGATTGATGATATTATAGCTGTAGAATATTTAATAAACTGTCATTTTCGCATGAGGACAAGTGCAGTTTTTCCAAAAACTTTTATTAATAACTTTGGATTTTCATCTCTTGACATATCAATCATATAGTGGGAAGGATCCTGTAAATCAAGACTGTGTGAATGCATGTACCACTCCGAATAAATAAATAAATAAATACTGTGCCTTTGAAGATTTGTCTCTGGTCATAAAACTACAATACAGGCTGGATGTCTAAACTAAGCCAATTCTGAACGTCAATAGATTTTTTAGATTCATTCTCTTCAATGACAACACTCTAGAACTGAGTTATCACTCATCGAAGTCTGCTATCCGGGGTAATCTGGTTAATGATTATATAATTACTTAAGTGGCTCTTTCCTTGTAGAATGTGGACCTCTGTATAGAAAACATTGTATTGCTAAGATGCTTAAACTTAATAGCTACACTCACCGACACAGGATAAACTTTACCCCTCACGCAGGCCCTGACCAAACCGGTAAGTTGCTCCTCACTGTAGCTGCACTTCTCCACATGGCCAGACTTCTAGAGGTCTTCTCTCCTTTTAAAAAGAGACCCTTAAACCCAGACTTGTCCACACACCCTCTCCACTGAATAGCAGGCTAGTGATTGCTTTGCAACGCTTGCAGTTAGCCACTGATTCCTTCCAAACCACTCATTGTTGAATTTGCGATGTCCAACTTGTTGTGTAATGTGTAATGTTTATGTCCAATGGCTGATGAGCACCGATACATTTTATCTATAATTTCTCTCCACATGAAAAGGATTTGCCAGTAGATTGTCGAAGTGATTCATGATGATGACTGCTTGTCTAGCTTGCTAGCTACGATTTTGAAAGTAAGATGTTGACATGATCAAGGCCAGGGCGTGACAGTACCCACCCCCCAAAGGTGCGTACTCCGGCCGCACCAACCTGACTCATTAGGGGAGGGTCCGGGTGGGCATTCAGCCTCGGTGGCGGCTCCGGCTCCGGGCGTGACGTCCTCTCCCTTTCTGCCTCCCCGTTGCACCCCTGGTCCGGTCTGGACCTCGGCGTGCTGCTTCCCCTCTCCTTCCTCCCACGATGCACCAAGCCCTGTCTGGACCCTGGTGTGGGAGGCCCCGACCCTGGAGAGGGGTTGACGTCTGGTTCTGGAGTGGAGCCGCTGACCGGAACTGAACCTCGGTGGAGCGGACTGCTCTGGCTCTGGACTGGAGCAGCTGACCGGAGCTGGACTAGGCACCGGTAGAGCGGACTGCTCTGGCACTGGAGTGGAGCAGCTGACCGGAGCTGGACTAGGCACCGGTGGAGCGGACTGCTCTGGCACCAGCCGTACTGGGCTGGAAACACGCACCACTGGTCTGGTGCGAGGAGCAGGTACGGGCCGTACCGGACTGGATACACGCACCACTGGTTTGGTGCGGGGTGCAGGTACGGGGCATACCAGGCAGGCGACACGCACCACTGGTTTGGTGCGAGGAGCAGGCACGGGCTTTACCGGACTGGATACACGCACCACTGGTTTGGTTACGAGGAGCAGGCACAAGCTTTACCGGTCTGTGAAGACGCACTGGCGGCACAGTGCGTAAAGCCGGCGCATAGCCTGGTGCCTGCATGGTCACACGCTCCTCAACGCGAGTGCGGGTAGCTGGCTCTGCTAACCTCTGAAGACTGAGCTCTCTGCTGCTGGAGGGTTAATTCCTCTCTCAGCTTCTCTTGTTGCCTGGCCAGCTCCTCTCTCCGTGCAACCATTGACTCCTTCTCCCTAAGGGCCTCCTGCTGCGCCTCCTTTTGAAGGGAGCTCGCCTGCTCTATCTTCGCGATCAGCCCCCGTAAGGTGGTTGTCTCTTCTGTTAGAGTGCTAATCTGCAGGTCTCTCCGAGCCTCCTGCTGCTTACCCAACCACCCCATGTGCCCCCCCAAAAAAGTTTTTTTGAGGTTGCCTCTCGGGCTTCCGTAGCAGTCGGCACCGTTGGCGTCGCCGTTGATCCTCTACTGCCTGGGCTTCTACCTTCACCCAGGGTCCTTTACCGGCTAATATCTCCTCCCAAGACCACGTCTTCCCCACCTGTGTCCAGGGTGTTTGCTCCTCCTGGCCACGCTGCTTGGTCCGTTGGTGGTGGGATCTTCTGTCACGTCCGTTGAGTACAGGATTGGACCAAGGTGCAGCGTGGTATGCGTACATGTTCGTTTATTAAATAAACACTGAACAAAAGCAACGTAACGTGAAGTTCTAAAGGCTAACATCAAACAAGCCAAACACACAGAAACAAGATCCCACAACATAGGTAGGCAACATGGCTGGCAAAGTATGATCCCCAATCAGAGACAATGATCGACAGCTGCCTCTGATTGGGAACCACACCCGGCCAACATAGAAATACAATATCTAGATCTTACACATAGAAATTCCCACCCTGACCAAACCAACTAAAGACAACCGGGCTCTCAAGGCCAGGGCGTGACAGTAACTCTATGGCAGCACCCAAGGCGCTTGAATTTTCGAGCTCTCCCTGTAGATTTTGCGGTGACGTAGTGTCCCCATGAGTGACAGAACACTGAGCCAATCACGGCGCAACTAGAGAACATTACCAACCCCTACGCTCCGTATTTTCCGCTGGCTGCCCTACCACCACCACAGAAAGCACTGAGCTAGGCTGAAACACCGCCTTACTCAAGAAAGCAAAAAAGAGACCAGGTTTTTATGTGGCACAACAACACCGGGACACAGAGCCACAATAACACCGGGACACAGTGCCACAACAACTCCGGGACACAGAGCCACAATAACACCGGGACACAGTGCCACAACAACACCGGGACACAGAGCCACAACAACACCGGGACACAGAGCCACAACAACACCGGGACACAGAGCCACAACAACACCGGGACACAGAGCGACAACAACACCGGGACACAGTGCCACAACAACACCGGGACACAGAGCCACAACAACACCGGGACACAGTGCCACAACAACACCGGGACACAGAGCCACAACAACACCAGGACACAGCCACAACAACACCGGGACACAGAGCCACAACAACACCGGGACACAGAGCCACAACAACACCGGGACACAGAGCCACAACAACACCGGGACACAGAGCCACAACAACACCAGGACACAGAGCCACAACAACACCAGGACACAGCCACAACAACACCGGGACACAGTGCCACAACAACACCGGGACACAGTGCCACAACAACACCAGGACACAGTGCCACAACAACACCGGGACACAGAGCCACAACAACACCGGGACACAGTGCCACAACAACACCGGGACACAGAGCCACAACAACACCAGGACACAGTGCCACAACAACACCGGGACACAGAGCCACAACAACACCGGGACACAGTGCCAAAACAACACCGGGACACAGAGCCACAACAACACCAGGACACAGTGCCACAACAACACCGGGACACAGAGCCACAACAACACCGGGACACAGTGCCACAACAACACCGGGACACAGAGCCACAACAACACCGGGACACAGTGCCACAACAACACCGGGACACAGAGCCACAACAACACCAGGACACAGAGCCACAACAACACCGGGACACAGTGCCACAACAACACCGGGACACAGAGCCACAACAACACCAGGACACAGCCACAACAACACCAGGACACAGTGCCCTTGGCTTCCACTCCCACTAGGTGCTTAGTAAGAAACAGAAGAAAAAAACAGCTCAATCAAACCCTGTCAGAGCGCTTTCGACACACCCACTCCTTTTCACACGCCCACTATTTCCTTTCAACACACCCACTCCTTTCCACACGCCCACAATTTCCTTTCGACACACCCACTCCTTTCCACACGCCCACTATTTCCTTTCGACACACCCACTCCTTTCCACACGCCCACTATTTCCTTTCGACACACCCACTCACTCGCCCATACCCCTGCCATATTGAGCTCAATGAGGTATAATAAGAACTACAGACTGTGTCCAAGATGTCCGACCATTGTTTTCAAGGTAATCTACTCACGTTTGCATACTATATCCTGGTTGCATCCGGTTTATGCGGACCAACATCACATGCGCACTAGCACTCAGTGCGTTAAGGGAGCAGCGCAAGAAAAGCGAAGACATCATCACGTTATCCAAAAACAAGGGAGACATCGGATGAATATAAAATGTTTAAATCTCCGGCTGT